ACCCCCACCCCCATCCCACCCCCACCCCAAAGAACTAAATAGACCACACATGCTCACATCACCATATAAACACTATCAAACTCAGTCTGTGAGTGTTTGTACAAGGTAATGCTGCATCTAAAGACAAACAAACAAAAAATAAAACAACAAAAACCCCTACAAAACACACAAAAAAGCTACACAATAAATGACTCGTTGAGAAGGAATTAAGTAGCCAACAGACAGACCTCAGCCCTAAACTAGCCCCAAGTGCTAGAAAACTCAAATAAAAACTTTAGGGAAACTGTGTTAATATTGTGCACTTTCATGGGTATGGGGTATGGGGAACAGCCCACATCCTTGTGCAGGCTACACACACACACACACACACACACACACACACACACACACACACACACACACGAGTGCACGTCTATCCTCCCAAATTAACACTGACAACACTAGCTGGAAAGGAGGACAATATGCAGGATTGTAGGGAATATGTAGGGAATTTCATCAAAAGAGAGGTAAGGCCTGTCAGTGGTGGCACAGACCTTTACTCCCAGCACTCGGGAGGCGGAGGCAGGTGGATCTCCATGAGTTCGAAGCCAGCCTGATCTACAGTGCTAGTTCCAGGACAGCTAGGGATGTTACACAGAAAAAAAAAAACCCTGTCTCGAAAAACAAACAAAAAACAAAAAAGAGGTAGGGCTGATACATGGTCCTTGGAATGTGGATTCTGTGCTTTGCATTCAACAGATCTGAAGTGTGAGCCTGTGGGGACAATGGAGCTATGATTTGCCAGACTGGGAGCCGCAGGAGCTGTGTGAAGCCTGGGAACTGAGAATCAGGGATATGTTATCCGTTTAGGGGGGAAGCTGATTCACAGAGTTCAGTTTGGCCAAGCATCCAGTCTCATGATCCCATGGCTTTAGCCCCAGTGTCCCAGAGCTTTGCTTAGGAAGTGTGGGGTCTCATGGCTCTGCCCTTCCAACTACGTTTGGTGGAGTTTTGTTTTGTTTGTTTGTTTGTTTGTTTGTTTTTAACCTGATCTCTACTTGCAGTTCAATCAGGTAGGATCTTCCAGGTAAAGGGAACAGGTCTAAAATCTCACCATAGTTTTGATCCTCAGCCAGGCCCAGCAATTCATAAATGACAACCATAGAGGGACAGAGACAAAAACATCACAGTGTATGTTCTCTAGACCTTTTAGAGAACATGTGATTGCTCCTTTCGAAAACCTATGAGATAGGAGATACTGCTGACATCAAAGAGATGGGTGCTATTAAAAAAGGAACACCCTATAATGGCAAAGAGAGACAGGGGAGCCTGCATTGTCACTCAATGTGCTGCTGGCACTACTGTAAACAAGCGCTCCAAGGGCAAGACTCTTGCCAGGAGAACTAACGTATGGAACACAGAAGCACTGAGTTTTGAACTGTCACGGGAACACAACGAGAAACAGGAAAAATTTTCACTTCAACAGTTCTCAGCTAACTGTGAGTCACTGTTGTTGAGAAAGGGGATCAGATAGCCCAAACCGGCTCAAACTCTGCATGTATGTAGCTGAGAATGGCCTTGAGTTAGGGATCCTCCTGCCTCTCTCCCCCAAGGGCTGGTTTTACAAGCATGTTTGGTTCTTTATAACAAACAAACAAAACCACTTATTTGTTTGTTATGGGTGTGAGTATATCACACAAAGACAGTTTGTGTCGTCTACTTTCACTTTCTTCGGTGTGGGTTCAGGGCATGGATCTCCGGTTGTAAGGCTAGGCAGTTAAGTGCCTTTACTGGCTGAACTACCTCACTGGTCCTAGAATAGGACCTATGGGAGATTTTTGAACTTGCACTTTTAGCTCTACTATGCTCATAACTTTTGTTATCAATAGCACCGTTCTGGTATGACCACTTGGCCATAAGACTCTAATCAAGTTCAAGGCTGGATTGAACTTAAGATCTCCTAGCCTCAGCCCCCCTGACTATTGGGATTACCCAGGTTCATCACCTACCTGGTTTTAGAATTTAGTGTTATAGCATGTAACCATCTAGGTGTGACTGAGGTTTTGTCAGTACAGATCTCATTGGTAACAACAACTTATAAGTACTGTGCCTGAAATTTAATGTATCAATACATATTGATAATTAACAATTTGTTTTAGAACCAATTTAAGAGATATCCAGCAAAATGAAAGGCAGGATGCCAGCTCATATCTATGTATAACAGTCAAGGAGTGGACCCCTAGGCAGGTGCAGCGTTGTATACCTGTAATCCCGACACTCAGAAGGCAGACACAGGATGACCTGGTCAGGTTCAATACCAGCCAGGGTTACACAGTGAGGCCCTACCACAAACAAACAAGTAAATCTATTTTTACAATTAAAATGAAGGGTGGTTATTTTAGAAAGTAATTCATGAATATCTGAAGCAAAACGTCTTTTTCAAGGAGAATACATTCAACTAAATAAAGCAAGACACCTGGGGTGGCTGTGTAGTTATAATGCCAGCTACTCCAAATGCTGAGGCAGGAGATGGAAAGACCAAGGGAAGCCTGTGCAACGGAGCAAAACTCTGACAAAGATGGTGTGAATGGGCCCGGCGTTAGAGTTCAGTGACGGATGCTCCTAATGCACCAGAGGCTCGGTTTGCCCTCTAGCACTAGAATCTCAAAAAGTCGGTCTTCCTCAGCACAAACGTACTCACACACAACAGTAACTGTCAGTAAACATGTTAGGTGTGGTCATTATTTCTCAGTATGGGAACATCACACTGTGCAACATGAACACACAATTTCTCAATGAATGTAAAAAGGAGTAAGTTTTAGACATAGTAAGATTCTAACACTGCATATCATTAAGAGTCAAAGACAGTTGGGAACTGGAAAGCAAATCCGGCTCTTCTGCTTGGTCAGGGTCACACCTACAAGTACACATCAACAACTGGTAACACAACTAGAGGAAGTGTAAAGCAGACCGAGAACAGAGAGTACACACAGACGGTATTTAGCACAAATGCTCAGAATTGTTCATATCTCTGCTTGGAAATCAGAGTGCTGCAGAGGGTAAACTCATGCAACCAAGGTGTGTTCCAGCCGCTCAGGACGCCTCACCCAAGGTCATATTCACAGTACAAAGCAAATGTCAATTGCTTCCTTTATATGTGGCCCTTCATTTTATGTTAAGCAAATAAAGTTACTGTCAGGGCTGAAGGTGTGGTTCAAGGACAGAACACATTCTCAAGGCACTGGCTTCGATCCCTGGCACTGCAGTGGCATCTTGCCTTGCCAGTGAACTTGTAGTGGTGGCCGCACCTTTTGGGTGTGGTTTCAGGTGCAGATGTGATCCATTAAGGTAGAGGAGGGGCTGGCTCACACTCTCTTTGGGTTTCGGAGAACATCAGAAGGGCAGAGACGGCATCTTCTGGAGCAGGAAGACCTCGGCGGTTATTTACTCTTATCTGTGTAAGCAATTCCCTAATAAATACCTATTTATCATTTATCTTGGGTATGGTGCACTCATTTAAACCACGCCTTCAAGTGGTGCCCAATTGAAGGCATAGGCATCAGTAGACAGATAAAACAACATTCCTGTCCCAACAGTTCACTCATGATTTTCCACTTACAAAGTCCTGACGGATGTCATTGAAGTCTTTGCCATATTTTTCCAGTGCTTCTTCAAATAAGCTGGCTTCAGAGGCCGACCACTCCTCCATCTCATCTCTGCACAGGACTGGCCCTCCAAGTGGCACCAGGACACTTATGGCACTGCTCAGGTCATAGCCATGCCTGTACAGCGTATCCATGGCATGGAACTGGAGAGAAGACACACAGGAAAGAAAGGTCAAGTGGGCTCGTATACCTGCAAGCCAGCGAAAACCGGAACACTGAATGCAGGATATGCATAATTAACGGTATCTTTAGTATTTCCTTTTAAATAGCAAAATCAAACAGCCAATCACCATCAAATGATTGCTTTAGGAGAATACTATCTGGTAAGAGAATGCTAAGGTGTTTTAAAAATAATCCATTTGGAATAGCAACAACTATGAAGATTCAAATGCTCAAAATATTCAATTAAGAACACAATCAATTTTACCTCAAGATTTCATTTACTTAAAAATACCCAAGCCACTTCAGTTACTGTGGAATAATCTCCACTGACCAAGGAAAAACATAATATGTGTGAGAGAGAAAAAGTATTGTATTAAAAGCATTGGTTCAAGTAAGAGAATAATGCACTATTAATAAGAGCAAGAGATGAAAAGAAAAAACAGAATAGAGCATCATATTAAAGCAAAACTATATATTTGGGCCAACGAGATGGCTCAGCAAGTAAATGTGCTTGCTGCCAAGGCTGACAACCTGAGTTCAATTCCCCTACCCACATGGTAGAAGGAGAGAATGGATTCCCAAAAGTTGTCCTCTTGGCTCCACGTGCACTCCATGGCACACATATACTCACATACACACAAGTTCACACAAAATAAATAAGTAAAAAGAATACATTTCATATTAAACACAAAACAAGCAACATTGCAAATCCGAGTTCACATGTAACTTGATTGAGACTTTGGGAAGACCAAGAACAGATGATCAGGCATGCTTAGAGCAGCCAGGCCAGTGAAGGTTTCTGTAGACCCTAAGGAAGGGTGATTTGAAAGGGGGCAGAGATTAGGACATTTGAGCAGGAGGGTGTGGTAGTGTGTTTTCCCGGCAGGCACCAAGTGCTGGGCTTGATTCCCAGATCCCAACCCTGACCAGCAGCAGATAAAAAACTTTTGTAAGTTTATCTAGAGAAGAGTCCTTTATCTGTGTGCACGACGTTTATGCATACCAAGAAAACTTCGGAGTAGAACAGTCAGTCCGTCCATCCGTCCATCTGTCCCCGTCCCATCCCCACCCCCCACCCTCGCCCACACACACACACAGAGGCTGGCAAGGTGACCCTACTTCTGTGTCTGTCCCCACCACACACACAGGCTTCAGAGGACATGAATGCCAAGGCTTGCATCTTTTACACCATCACATGTGTCAATCATCTAAAACATCACAAATGGGCATGACGTGGTGGAGCACACATTTAATCCCAGCACTTGGGAGCCACAGGCAAGCTATCTTTGAATTCCAGCCAGCCAGGGCTACACAGTGAGAGCCTGTCTCCCAATAAACCAAATAAAAAAATAAAAAAAAGCATTAATTAGCCATGTAGTGGTGATGCACACCTTTAATCACAGCACTTGGGAGGGAGTGGAGGTGGTTCTATGAGTTCAAGGCTAGCGTGATCTACACAGAAAGTTCTAGGACAGCCAAAGCTACATAGAGAAGCTCTGTCTCAAAACAAACAACAACAATTAATTAAAATATATATTTACAGCTGGATATGGTAGTACATGTCTATAATCTTAGTATACTCAGGAGTGAGGCAGGAGGATTACATATTTGAAGCCAGCCAGTGAAATCCTACAACAAGGGTGAATTTACACTGGGAGACATTAACCAACATGGGTGATTATGGACACAGAAACTGTGTTGACAAAGCCAAAGGCGTCGGCAACTAGTACAGATCTGTTTAGTAACTGGTTGAACAAGGTTTTTGGCATTAGCTTTAAAACCAATCTCTGGATTTCACAAAACAAAAGTCGAAATGTCATTACCAGTTTCCCTTGACAGTCACAGTTTGGGCCGATGTTTGAGGTGGTCATTTATTGCAGGCATCGGTGGTGGGGCAGCATTCTCTGACAGAAGCCCTCTTTGCCACACCACAGTTTCAGGATGCTGGCCCTGCTCTTGCCTCCTGCTCACACCCTGCCAAGTGATGAATCTGATTCTCTAACTACCCTCACCAAATAGACCCTGTGATTTAACTGTTTCTTTTCTCTTCACATCTGAGCCCTCTTTCTGACTATCTCATAATGAAAACAGAAAGAAAGATCAATAGTATTTAGGGATCCTTTCAACTAAGGATAGGGCCATAGACTGTTACTTTGATGTCCTAAATTGACAACAGGTAATACAATAAAACAACAACAAAAACCTAAAAGACTAGGTAGTATTCAAAAGCCAAATCCACCATTTGGGATGCGGAGGCAGGAGGATAAGGAAGTCAGTGTTGTCCTTGAATATATTAAGCCTGTCTCAAAAAACCAAAAACAACAAAGTCAATAATTACACAAGGGCTCGAGCATAATTCAGTGCCAGATTTGCTTGATGTTTGATCCTCAACTCCCCCTCTAAAAAGTTAACTGTGATGCTGAAACAACTGACCTGAGCAAGTGGGAGCTCATGGACACCAGTCTGACAACTGGAGAACTATCATAGGACCAAACCAGGCCCCCTGATTGTGGGTGTCAGTTAGGAGGCCTGGGCAGTTTATGGGGCTTCTGGTAGTAGAGATTATATATATTTCTGGTTTTTCGAGACAGGGTTTCTCTGTATTGTTTTGGAGCCTGTCCTGGAACTTGCTCTATAGACCAGGCTGGCCTCGAACTCACAGAGATCCGCCTGCCTCTGCCTCCCAAGTGCTGGGATTAAAGGCGTGCGCCACCAATGCCCGGCCTGTGGATCAGTATTTATTCATAGTGTAGGAATAGACTTTGAGAGCCCACTCCCCAAGGAGGGATACTCTCTCAGCCTAGAGACACAGGAAGGGCCTAGGTCCTGCCCCAAATGACGTGACAGACTTTGATGATTCCCTCATGGAAGGCCTCTCCCTCCCTGGAGAGTGGGATGGGGGGGGGGGTTAGTGTGGGGCATGGTAGGATGGGAGGGAGAGGGAACTGGGATTGATATGTAAAATAAGATTGTTTCTAATTTAAATAAAATTTATATAAAAAAGAAATTTTTGTATCTAACATGCTCTGAAACCAACGTCACAGAATTAGGTGTGCTTATCTCAGGTCACAGTGCATCAAGCAGTTAATCGGAGGAAACCACATTGTAAACCATAGCACCAGCCATGTGCAAGGATATCCACTGCATCCAGGGACTTAGGGGGCCCAGACTGCAGGACAGCTTCCAGGCCTCCAATCAGCTCCAGCCAGCATTAGCACCATGAGAGTCATCTCAAATAAGTGAACCGCAGCCTGGCCGAGAGGGCAGCGTAGTCGTATGAGCAGACTCTCCATACTGCACCGTGGACTTGTAGGGGCAATTTCACGATGGAAACCAGAGGCTTCTCTCTCTCATAAGGTCCAATTAACCTCATCTTTCTGAGACACACACATGTTGCTTTTGAATGGACTTTTGTGTGGTCTAATTGTACTCTTTAAAAGCTTTAAGGAAAAGAACATAGTTTCTACAACAAATGAAAACAATGTTCAGTAGAGAAAATAACGAAAATTTAGGAGACCATAGAAATTCAGTAGGGTGCACTTTTTCCTGTGTTCCAGAATACGGACTAGGAGAACATAAGGGGACTCTGGGGACACTAGGCTTTATCTACACCTAGGGGTGGTTTTACATTGATGTTTGCAACGATGGAGGTCACCCCATGCATGAGGTATATTGCACATATATCTCAACTTAAAATTAAAATGGATTTGAAAGCTAAGCATAAAACAACCCAGGTCTCCCCTCAGATAAATACTTTGCAAAGACCACATCTTTTCAATAGATACAAACACACGTTACAAGATCCATTCAAATCTAAATTTTGAAAATCAAAACCGAGCACAAGCTGTTCCCTCTGCCAAAAAGCAAAGGTGTTGTCACATTTCATCTCATTCATAACAGATGGAAATGACAAATAGAAGTATTTTAGGAGAAAGACTGACAAGGAAATCTTGGCAGTGGGGTTTTCGCCTTTTGTTCATTAAACAGAACAACGCTGTGGTAAACTGGATGATTGTCCAGCAAACATTTTACCTCCTGCCCTGGACCTCCAAAGAAGGCCACTCTGCCCCTACACAGACTCTGGGCTTCTGGCACATGATTTGCTTGGCCAGTAGAATGCTAAAATATATGATATACCTAGAACTCACTGGTGTGTGCCTTTAATCCCAGCACTCTAAGGCAGAGGCAGGTAGATCTCTGAGCTTAAGACCAGCCTGGTCTACAGAGTGAGTTTCAGGACAGCCAGGACTACACAGGGAAGCCCTGTCTAAAAAAAAAAAAAAAAAAAAAAAAACATAAAACAAAACAAAAATATATTACATAACCGATGTTTGATGTGCATTCATGCACTTGACCTTGGTCTCTTGTGCTAATGACTTGTGTTCACAGAGGCTGGGAGATGCAGGAGAGCAGAACTGGGCCAGCATGTAGTTTGGCTGAGTCTAGTTCATCAGAATCTTAGACGATCTGCTGCTGAGTGTGTGAGATGAGACAAGAACTAGATAAGCCTCTGGGGCAGTGTGCGAGTGATGCCATCCGAGAAGAGAGAACACATTCATGGAAGTGCTCCAAGTTCTGCAGGCAGGCACCTTCAAAGCTGCTCTACTCGGAGCTGCTTCAGCTTAAGACTGAGTGGATGACGCAGGGTGTATGGGACCTGAACCCAAGTACCCAGCCAGTTGTATGCAAATTTTCCCTAATTGTACCTGGCCTTAAGGAGAGGGAGAATGTATGGGCTGGGAAAGTCTGGGTGCTGTGGTGGGAACAGCCCTGGGGAAGCCAGTGTCCATGCTAGAAGTAGACCTTCCAGTGTAGTTGCTACAGGGTCACCCACACTCTGCAAGTAACCCTAATAAACCTGCTGCTCCCCCAGGGAGAACTTCGGTAGACTCAAACTATAGTTTGCCATTGGGGAACCTTATCAAGTAGGAGGAAGAGGTTGCCTTGCCACCCCTAAAAATGTAGAATTTGAAACATAATA